CCTCCCCTAGCCCTGACGACTAACACCCGCCGACCTTCTCATGCGAGCGGCGTGGGGATGATGAGTGTTAGTGACTTAATAGCCCTTGAGGCATCTATAAACACTGTTGATTTTGTACATTTTCATTCGTTTCATGTAATTGTATTGGCCTGAGGAAGAATTACCGAAAACGTGCGTTCGCCAACTTGACTTTTCAATGTTTGGGTTTTGCTTCACTGGCCCCTAGTCCATTAACAAGTGCAACAACCTTCCCCTTCCATATTCGGTGCTGAGACTTCGCCTAGGCGGAGTAATTAGCCACGCGGGGAGCGCACAGGTGAACACTGTTCCCAACGCCAGATTCGGTGAGTCAGATGGTTAAGCAATCCTCACACCACCACCCAACACACGTGACGAAATTGCGGTAATTAACGGCGCGAATATCGGCTATCAAACGGTCATCACACCACGTGCAACGATCCCTGATGAAGGGTGGGACCCGTGCATATTAATAGGTTGGCGGTAGCATGGCTACTGCATCCTATAAATACTACAGCCCGTTGTTCATGAACCACCCGTATCTGCTTTTGTCTCTGATGATGGGTTCGAGGGGGAATCCGAAACGTCAGGCCAATTAAGCTCTTGTCCCAGTGATCGTGTCTTCTTCCTCAAGACTGCTTCCTAGGACTCGTCTCTTCGCTTCTATTAGTAATATCGACAGTAAATTCGTATAAGCACTTTCCCAGGAACCCACATCATTCCTGCAGCTGCAGTTATCTCCTCACAAAATTTGACCGATACACTAGCCTACTCACTTCTTCTTCTGGCGACTCATTTTGGGATTGGGTACTGCCACGGTTGGAATTCCAGGCGACATCCAATTGAAACATATCTTCAGATTTTGCGGGCCGTAAGGGCGACTACAATAGGCGGTCTGCGCAGTTCTGCGTCGCTATCTAATCACGGTAAGTCAAGGAGTGTCATCGTCCACCCCGTCAACTGCAGACGGAGGGGAGTATTGTCATCTGCGGTCCAAAAAACACTCCGTCTCTCTCTCACACCTGGAACACATGAACTGCTCATCAGTCCCGAATAAGCACATATGTAGAAGCAAAGTGTACGGAAGATATTCCGACAGCTCAAGACTGATAGCTGGTTCGGCTTCTTAAATCATCAGAAGTTTGGCGTTTGGGCAGCCATTTACTCCACTCCCTTCATTGTAAATGACAATCACACACTCCATCAACGATCGCCATCCCTGACCTTAATAGAGTTTCGCTCGTCGGTGTTTCGACTTCATTTTAACCTTTTCATCTTGAATGCAAGCTTGTTTCTCCAGATTCTGCCACAATCACTTCTCCCCCGGTGAATTGGTTACTATCATTCCGTCGTGGTTTAAAAAATGCTAGTTTGTAGCATCTCACCGCCTGCCTTGTGTTATTTTTAGAAATCCTCAATGAAAAGAACGGAGACCTTATCGAATCAGCTCAGGTTAGTTAAAGACATCTTATTTTCACGCTTGGCTTCACGTTTCGAGTCTGTCGTGCGCTTTGCACGACCATGAA